CCTATCCATCCATCCATCCATCCATCCATCCATCCATCCATCCATCCATCCATCCATCCATCCATCCATCCATCCATCCATCCATCCATCCATCCATCCATCCATCCATCCATCCATCCATCCATCCATCCATCCATCCATCCATCTGGATTCCACATCGCCAGTAGAGACGTGGACGAAGCATTACTTGTTCACGCAATTAACATTGGCATACAAGTGGCATAGGCAGCTCCATAACGGGCTTTTCTAAGTGGTTCAAGTCTAATAGCACTTCAGTTGATAGTAGTCTTCTCGAACCCAATCACGACAGACGCCCTTCTCCAGCGACGTAAAGAGTTGATGTTCAGCCATAGAAGTCGAAATGCTTGTTGTTGTGATTAAGTTTGCTTGCCGCTTTTACAAATGTAACGCTTCGAGTCTTTCGCAGTCGTAATGAGCCAAAGTAACAAGGAAATGTAATGCTTTGATGACTTGTTTAATAATTCTTGTCAGTTTAATGTACAATTAAGGCTCAGTGATTGTGCTCTGGCTAAGCAGCATGACCTCTGAGCCATGCTAATAACTTCCAGTACTTCTTTATTTAGGGGATACATTTTCTGCCCAAGTATTTTTAACACGTTACTTGTCTATTTTACCCTCAATTTCGGTAACGAGCTACTTAGGGACTCCGCCATTGTGCTTCTACCGAAGATTCTGACCTTTGGAGCTCACCAGTAGCCCCGCGCCCTACTGCATATGCATAATAAATATTCAGCCAGAGTATTACGCCTTCAATCGTCTGGAGGGAGGTCTCGGGCTGCTACAAAAGAGCGTGCATTACCAACGTATAGAATCAGTGATTTTACTATCACAGATTGGTGACGTTGCTAAGCCTGAAATGTCAGGTCTGTTAAACGTACCGATGAGCAAAACAAAAGCCACTAAGCTTCATGTTTCATCCATTAACTGTCCAAGTTAGCTTTGCAACTCATCCACTTTTACACACCCCATGCTTCATTAAAATGCGCTATGTAATGCATTTTCCACACGTTTTTGTCAAAAATTCACCTTCTCCCTTTGTACGGTCCTTTAAAGTGGGCAATGGGGAAGAACATTTTCTAGTCCCAAAAATATTACTGAAAGGAATCCATATTTTACGAGTTTGTTACTTTTTAAGAAAAAGTTTATTGTTCCTATAATGATGCAATGTGTTTAATTGACCAGTCGACTAGAATTTCTAAGATTCTGGTGACATCTTATACGAGAAAATAATATGGTTTACAATAGTCTTCCATTCGACTGGTTAGTATTCTGGGTAAATGTTAGCTGTGCCTCAAGGAATAAGTATCAACACAATGAATAATGCAGAAGCATCCAAGAATAATTGATATCCCCCTTACACAGGTTATTTGAATTCATTCCGTTATTCATTTTCTTTGGATCTGCTTTTCATTCTAATCAGACCCCTTCTAGTCCCCTATTCGTGCTACTCCTGTTATTTAGTAGTATTTATTAAGTTATTCAATTCCTTAGCCCACAGTGCACCTACCCTACTGCTAATTTATAAAAACAGGTAGATGTGGGCACAACTTTATTTATTGCATACCGTTGCAAATGGATGCTTTCCCATTCTATTACATTTCGTTTTTATATTATCGTGTTTTATGCATGGATCATCGAGTTTGCAAGCTCATTGGAAATTTCCAAACATTTAAAAGTACAGATTTTGAATTACTCAGATCTGTTAAAGATTAAAAGATAAAATTGACATTTGAAATCCTACTATGTTGTTACAAATTATTGAATACTTCTCTTGAACTTTCGAAGCAAATCTCACTATGGCTAGTAGTTGCGATGAAACTGCTAAAGATGCTCATTTTACAACTAGTGGAGAAAGCTTAGCTATCTGCATTCTAAGATCATTAATATGCGATATCCAAAAAAAAAGGACTAAAACAGAATCAGGTGTAGGTGATACCTGCTAAAAAATAGTGAGACTGTAGCAACTTTTTACGCCAATGAAGATGAGAGTCAGTTTTCTAAGTGCCATACACACGTTCCTACGTAAATTAGCCATCACAAACTTCATTCCTGTCTGGGAAGGCTAAATTAGCCGTCACATAAATATTGTCATTCTTCAATAAAAGATATGATTTTGTAATTTTAAATCGACTTTTAAATTGCTGTGAAACAGAAAGTCATCAACTCATAGGTGGTTCCATTCACACGGAAGAAGAACATAATTTTTAGATTTAACCTAGTCCTCAATTTGAGAAAAATTTTAAATATTTCCGGTTTACAATTTCTGTACCATCTACGTTTATGTCTAAACGCATGCTAAGTTAATGTATTGTGGGAATGCTATAATTTCCCAGTAATGGGCATTGGGAATTACTAAATGACTATGAATCGCCTGCAGCCATAAGATGTTTGAATTGTTTAATAAATTCTAATTCATGCAAGCATCTTCGTCGTTTGATTTAACTTGATCATATCATAAGAATCAAGGATAGTTAATTCCACATACGACTTTTGAACCTAAAAGAGGTGAAACATTTATATTTCGTCGTATTGATCTGCGAACCTAACAATTAGTCAAAAAGTTATTTTGGTACTCAGTTTAAGGAACGACGCAAAGTGTAGGTGGAGTTCCCTTCCCCCTTACTAAGATACAATTGTTGACTGTGGGAAAGAAGTCACTTGATTTAACCCAGCCAACGTAGGGTAAAAATAGCCTACCTCGGCTTGTATCCGGTCCTCTTTATTATTAGTGTATAATTCTGATATCTGAGGTACAGCTCTAGTATATAAACCACTGACATGGCTTCAAACTTCAAAATGGAAGTATTCATGCCATTTTGTGCACTCCAGTTTCATGTAATAGTATTTTTTAACAACCAAACCAGGCGTGTGGAGTAAAAATTTGCCTGTGACTGAACAGTCTTGAAATAGATAATAAGATGATGCACATTAATGAATTTTCACTCCACTGGCGGCTCTTTTATCAGATGTGTTTGTTGCTATCTTACAAGACATCTCGGGGAGATCCCAAATACAGCATTTTTTATAGTCTGTGTGCCCGTGAATAACGCTTATTATAACAGCAACAACAACAACGTTTTTTAGTGTTTTTATCACAAACTTTTTGTTAAGGCATGTTTGCTTCATAAAATTATGCATTGTTTACGATTACTGGTTAGTCATATCTTTATGGCTATTTTTACCACATTGGGAATGAAAACAAAAAATATTCAAATTCAAATTATTTTACCTATTGGCAGTTTATCCCTCAACAACTCAAAACTTCTAAAAGTTGAAACAAGAGCTGTCAAATTTAAAGCGAATGCTTACTTTTTCAAGCCAAAAGGAAGTAATAAAGATTAGGGGTGCAATTAACACTAATACTTATCCCTTTGTCCCTTAGCCCTCCACCACGCCCTCACCTTGGTGATTAAATCAACAACTGACAATTGTTGCATTATTTAATGTCCATAGAACAAGTGCTGCTCAAAAGTGTGGTCTATTTTGGTGATTAGAGTCAACGAATTATCCTGTGCATTTTACCGGGATTTATATCTGTCAGCTTCCAGCCTCTTATGCTATTTAACCCACTTAAATGTTCAAATTGGACCCAATTTTTGCCTTCGAATTTTCAGTTTAAAGGCTAAAAGGGTTTAGTAATTTTGTGAAATTCTAGCGTTCGTTTATTAAATGCTTCAGATTTAACATCAGTACCCACTCAAGGTGAACAAATACTGATATGGTGGCCTTGACTTTATCAGTTGCTTGGTATGCACGATTGGACCTTGACGAAGAAGTCATTTCATTGCGCCACCATGTGCTTTTCAGTCTGCTCATAAAGTGGAAAGTTGCACTTTTTTTACGTCTTAGTCGTTGCCCGTGCGCTTAAAGTTCGGGGAAAAGCTCGATATGGTTCAAATTAAAAAAAAATACACCATTCTACTGGAAAAAAGTGGGACTTTCCCTAAATGTCACGTCATGATCTTTTTTGCGTAAAACCTTTCCATGTGCATGTTTTGGCAGGAGGTCAGAAAGTCCATGGCCGTAGTTGCGCCGGAATTTCATCATTATCTACAAAGATGTTTTGGAATTGCTAACAAAAAATAGTCCCCGAAGTAAAGGCACAATCATCACAAGGCTGGAGTTGCGTATTTTTGATTTTCCCGAAATTCGAGTTAGGTAGGTGCAGATTTGTAAGCTGAGTCCTTGGTGTTCGTGATCTCAAACACACACCAATGTAACTCACAAAGACGTGCAACTTTTACTCCAAACACTTCATATTTTGCACCAATTTTGTCA